AGTGGTGATGCTGAGAGGCAAACTCAGCTCACACAAACAGTCACTGCCAGGCTGAACTTGCAGCAACTGTTTTCCTGGATATTCACATCCCAGCTTCCAGCCACCCTTCTTGAGGCACGACTGCCACACACCTGAGCTGTAAAATGCCTCTTGCTTCTGAGAGTATTAAGCACTTTTCTCTCAGTGAGTGGATTTGCTGTCTGGAACTGCCTTTATCGCCACTCACCCCTATTATTACTTCCATTAAAAGGTTGGAAGCCTAATACTGCATAGTCATGTAGTCTGAGATCTCAAAATGAAATCTGAGGGTAAAGAAAAAAGAGGTGCAGGTATAGACATAAAGTAGAAGCGTCTCTTGTGCTTCTTGTGGAAAACAAAGAGATGCAAGATGTAAAATTCCACAGAAACTCACTTGTGTTTGTTAAAGAGATCTCTAAGAGCCTGCACTGTCATTTTGGCTGCCTGGGTTATCTCCCTGGGTAACTCGTGCAGGAAGTGCTCTCAGATGGGTGCCCTGTAGGTGTATCAGCTGGCTGGTCTCTCTGGATAACAATCATTTCCCCTTCTGCATTTTAAGATGGCTCAATATATAAATTTAAAAAAAAAAAACAGTTAGAGGAGTTGTGATACCTTAAAGATAAAAACATTTATCCATTTTAGCACTGTCAAGAAAGTGAACTCCATCCCACCTAAAACCAGCACACTGGGATGGGGAAGGCTCTTCAGTGATAGCAAATGCTACTGGAGAAACAGAAACCCAGACACTTGTTTTGCATTCAACTTGCTGGAGCTTGATATTTTTGGAATCCTCTTTTTTAATTTTTTCTTTTCTTTTTTTTTTTTTTTCCACTCAATTAGATTAAATTTGTCACAGAGTTCAAAAGTTATGGAAATGGTCCAAAAACCAGGCTGGTGATGCAATTGCAGAAACTCTCTTTTCTTAGCAAATCAACTTAAATCTCCTAATGACTGGAGAAATGATGCCACAGCCCATTAGTTGGTGGCCACTTACATTCCGAGGTCGCTGTCACTGATGAGAGGGAGAGGATGGCTGAATCCTTCCTTTCTCATAATTAAAGCTCATGAGCTGGAGACTCATTTCTAAGGTGCTCCTTTCTATTGATCTGTGATGCCACTTTAGAGATTCTAACTAATAATATTAGATTTTCATCAACTCAGATTTGGCTGTGGATGTTCCTTTCAGCTGAAAGAACCGAGTTAACTGCCTCTTGCCTTTTTCCTATTTATATTTTAACTGCATTGTGTGAGAATAATGTAACACCTTCATTCAGACAGAATTAGTCACTGACTTGATGTCGAAATCTTCAGCTTGTAGTAATCTCACCCACATTCAGCCAAGCAGGTAAGCACATACTGAAGTCTACAATTAAAATCCTTAATTAAATCCTTAAATTAAGCACATACTTAAATGCTTTGCTAAAGAGGGATATAATCTCCAACATGCTCAAGATAAAGTGTATGTTTAAGTGCTTTATCGAACCAGTGCTTTTGCTGCAGCATAAAATACATTTGCCAAGCAAAAACTACTCCTATAGGTGTAATTCCATAAAAACTGGGGGATTAAGGAGCCTGTGGGCATTTATCAACATATACCACATGGCACCTGTCCTGACAGATCCCACCTGGAATGTTGGGAGGTGTGAGAAACCTCAGGGATGGGATGTTGCCAGTGGATCAGCTGAGCTGGAGCTGGACTGTTCTGGAGTAAGGATAGGCCCAGCTTGGATGGATGCTGGGGTCTGCATGGCTGAGATTTTGGACAGTTTTGGGCTCTGTGCTGACTTTGGGAAAATTAAATATATTTCTAAGTTTGAAATATATTTAAGAGAAGCACTTATGAATACCCTAGACAAAGAAATTCCCATTTTGTCCCCTGCTGTCCTCCTTGCAGGAAGAGACACAAATACACCCACAATTTAAATCATTACCTGACACCTTCTAGAGGCTCCAGCCTGCCAATGCTGCAGGCAATGTTTAAAACTATCTTGTGGAATTATCTGCAAAATTCTGTTACTGCTTTGGGATGTGGTGAAGGCCACTAACCAACGCCAGAGACACTGAGAAAAGGCTGGTATCACCCAGAGCAGGTTTGTCCCTAGCCAAACTCTCCCCAGACAGCAGCTCCCACTGGCAGGATAAAGAAGTGATATTAAATTATATCCCAATTAAAATCTGACTCTGCCTTTGCTCACAAGGAGAAGCCACTGGGCCATGCACAGACATGGATGATGGTTCATCCAGAACTTACAAGTGTTTTAATTATATGTGCTTTTCTATAATATAAATACAGTAGATAAACACAACCCCATTTAACAGGTCCTTTCTGTAGCACTACTCTGGTGGGTGAAGGCTCTGCTTGTTTAATTAAATGTGTTTTTGGTACCACTCACACTGAACATGGACCAGCCAGCTTGGGCTTGTGTCAGCACTTGGGAAAGCACAAGATTGAACAGGGTCCCTAAAATGAGTTTTTGAGCAACATAACCCTGATTATGGAGAAAACGTGCAATAACAGCTCAGGGAAACAGCAGCCTTCCAGTTTCTTCCAAACCCCATCTAACCTGGCCTTGAACACTTCCAGGGATGGGGCATCCACAGCTTCTCTGGGAAAACCTGTGCCAGGGCCTCACCACCCTCAGGGTAAAAAATTTCTTCTCTACATTTAGTCTGAATCTACCTTCTGTCAGTTAAAACCATCGCCTCAACTCCTGTGGCAACAGGACCTGCTAAAAAGTCTCTCCTCAAGACTTGCGCCAAGGAGCTGGAACTATTTGCAGCCCCTGGCTCACAGGTTTGATCCCACCTAGGACAGACTTGATGGTTTTGGTGGCTGTGGGCTTGGCCCAGCCCTCTGTGGGAGCTTCTAGTGCCAGACTGAGCTCAGCCCTTCTCAAAGCTGAGCTGCTGATGGGCTTCCCTGGACCATGGCCCCACTCCAGCCCTGCCCTGCTCTGGGCTCCCGGCACTGGGACTCACACAACCACTGGAAGCACTGAAATCCCTCTTGTGCCCCATTTTACTCATCCAAAACCCCTCTGTGAACACAGGCAGCTTGTAAAGCTACCAGCTCTGCTTTTGGGGATTATTTCCCAGTCCCCTGCCATGGGATCCAGTTGCTCAACCCAGGGTTCATGTCCTGCTTTCTGCTGGCAGGGCTGGGAATGACCCAGCCTGAATTAATGCCCTCCTCCTTCATTGATCCTATCAAGTGCTAAATAAAAGGAACTGCAGTTTTAAACCAACTAAGTTTTATTCCTTTTCCACAAGAAAATGAAGACAATGGCATTTCACTGCATTCAGCTGCTCCTTCCCAGGAAAAGGCCAGGTTGGGAATGTGCTGGGACACCACTGGGACACTGCTCAGGGACACTCGGGGGCTGGGAAGAGGCTCCACTCCCTTTGGGCAAGCCCAGCCCCAGCTCTGCACCCACCGAAGGCAAAGTCTGAACTCTGAGTTGAAGTTTCCATTTCTCAATTAAAAGCAGCCCCACTTTACAGCATCAGTAATCCAAAGCTTTTTTCCCACTTTTCCCCATCCACAGCCGCACCTCCATGCCTGATGTGCTTCACACTAACGAGCATCAGCCCAATTAGGCAGGGCCTGGAGTGCCCTGGGAGGGCACAGATCCTCATCTGTAGCAGCGATTTGGTTAAAGAAACGATTCCTAATATTCAATAAATGGCAGTTTTAATTTCTTCTTCATACATGATCTTAAAATGAGATTTTAAATTTTTTTATTTATTCCATAAACAATATAACAAAACTCAGCAAGTTAACAATATGACGTTTTCACCATACAGAGTCAGTCACAAATATTTAAAACCTTTGCAACAAGAACAACAAAACCCAAAATATTACAAGAATAATTTACAAGAGGATCTATAAAACAGCAAAGCGCTCACAAATTTTCCAGTTTCCTTTACACAATATCACTACACTCTTTCACAACATTTCTTTTTATTACAAAATTCCCAACAAAAGTTTAATTTTTTTCTTTGTATTTTGGTTTTTAAAACCAGAAACTCTTAAGTATACATCCTTTTATTAACACCCGAAGGTGCAAAAAAAGGGAAACCTCACACATACAAACACTTCACAGCACTTTTCTAAGAAAAATATACACTTACAAAATATTTTACAAATTGGCACACTTAAAAATATACAAGATTTTGTAGGCGTCTTAGAGTGATCCTTAAGAATTATACTTCAATTGACTCTACAGAATATTTATAAAGCTTATTCTAAAAGAAAAAAGGCAAATCATTTCCAAACATGTTAAAATTGCAGTGTAAAATGTGGAACAGAAATGGATATGTTACATTCATAAAAAGGGCCATTTAATAGTTCTTAAATGCTCAAGGGGGGGAATAAAAGTTTTCTTTAGCACCATAAAACAGGAGCAACTTCCTAACGAGGTGCCTCTAGTTCTATGGAAGGGAACTCAAGGAGCAGTACATTCACATCTCTGGAGGCAGCAGTCGAAGCGCCCGGCCGGCGCCGGGGCAGCGGAACAGAGCAGCTCCTTGGATTTCTACCCTGCTTCCCACCGGGAGTAAGAGACAAAAGGAGTTTCACTGGTACCTTGGTTTTGTGTGTGTGTGTGGTTTAGTCTAGGTTAAAGTCTTCCCTTTGTGCTTTAGAAATGGACGTCTGTCTGTCTGTCTGTCTGTCTAGCTAGCGAAGGGTAGTGAAAAGACCAATTTTATTTCTCGTTTCCTTTTGCACCAAGTGTTTAAAGGCTCAGTAAACGTGTCTGGCAACCCAAGCGTCCTGCGAGATGGAGGGAATCCTCCTGCTTCATATCCCAATTCCCTTAGATGGCTGTTACTCCACTGTCATTAGTGTCACTTGTTTACCTGAGAAACAGATTTGAAAAGCCTTGCTTCTACCACAGACATTGTACTTGGTTTATTTTATACATTTTTCTTTTTTTTTTCTTTTTTTTTTTTCTTTTTTTGCATTATTTCACACGCTGAAGAGATAAAGAGGCACATTCTCCAACAGATGTCAGCGGTTTGAACCATGCAACCTCCACTGGACCCCCTGGGAGCCGCACAGGCAAAGTCCAACACACCGAGTCGAGAAAGTAAAGACTGAGGGCCTGATCCTGCACCAACCCAAGTCCATGCACCTGATCCTCTTCCCACTTACACTGACTTCAAGGGAGTTTTTCTGAGGACTGGCTGGGAAAGCACTTGGGGCACGGGAGCCCCTGGGGAGCGAGCTCTCACCTAAGTGCTTCGCTAGATCGGGAGCTTAGGGAAAGAACATGGTCCAGCAGCTAAAGGATGACTACGCTTAAAACATCTTTATTTTGGTTCCTGGTTTGTTTGAAATGCTGAAAAAATTGACAGCGATCCTGATTTTTTAGAAGAGCAAACAGTGCAGCAATGGTTTCTCCAAGCAATCACCAGCCAGCCTTGGCTTCTCCTCTCTGAGCCAACCCAGCCTCAGCAAGACAGCACAGCGTGGCAAGGACACCCCTGTGGCTGCCTCTGACCTCCTCCTCCTCCTCCCCCCAAAATGCCTGGCTACCTCTGGTCCACAAGTCTTTGTTCTCAAGATGTTTCTCAAAAACATCCACCCTCCTATGCTAAAAAAAAAAAAAAAAGCAAGATGTAAACCTGGTAAGATTTATTTTGTAATAAAAACCCTAAAGGTTTTTATTGTATCCCCATCACTGATATTTTCCTATTAACAAAACTCTAAATGCAATCGATGGCAATGGGCTGGGTTGCTGAAGGATTCCTTTCCGCAAGACATCTCTCCTATTCCTGTGCCATGGGAGACCTGTGCTCCTGTGGCAGAGCAGTGAGTACCACCTTGCCCTGTGTAATTCTCCTCTCAGATGGATTTTATGACCTTTGGAAGCGGCCAGTCCCTGCTTTCTAATGCCAGTGCCAATTCTAAGTCACCCAGACCGTGGTGACAGTGCAGCTCAGCAGCACTGCTGGTACCATCCTCCCATCCTGCACCGGAGTGGGAGTGAAAAGAGATGAAGCGGAAAAGACATTTCAAGGGATGCTGCAGAATAAACATCTTTTATGTGGCTTGGCTTCATCGCTCCCAAGAGCCAAACAAGCTACTGGAGCCCAAGGAGAAGATGCAAGAGGAGGATGGAAGTTGTGTTGGGACTGGGCAAGAGGGTGGGCCGAGTTGGGGGCCAGCACAAGCAGGGGCAGGGACGGGTGGGACCCACATCCCACAGCTGTGAACAGTGCCATGAAAAACAAAAATGCAAATGGAGAACAAGAGCTTGTATGGTGAGGGATGAGGCAAAGGTGGGAAGTGAAAACCTTGAGGTAGTGATAGGCAGGTGGAGATGAATCCTAGGAAAGTAAAGTGCCTGCTCTTTAAGGAGTTAATCAATAGGATCCCCTGGGAAACTGCCCTCAGGGACAAGGGTGCAGAACAGAGCTGGCAGATCTTTCAGGATGCTTTTCATAGAGAGCAAGAGCTCTCAATCCCCAGGTGTAAGAAATCAGGCAAGGAAGGCAAGAGATTGGCATGGCTGAGTTGGGACCTGCTGGTCAGGCTGAAGGAGGAGATGCAAGAGGAGATGCACAGGCAGCAGGAGCAGGGACAGTATCCTAGGAAGATACTGGGATGCTGTCAGGTCATTCAGGGATGGGGTGAGGAAGGCCAAGGTGCAGATGGATCTGAACATGGCAAGAGACGTAAATAATAACATGGGCCTCTACAAGTGTGGCAGCGTGAAAAGGAAGGGTCAAAGCAGGTGTGACACAATTGCCAGTCTGGTCATAACAAATCAGAAGGTTGAGGCAACCTCTCTTTCCATCTCCCTTGAGTGGTGGAACCACAGGACAGGGATTAGAGGAGCAAAGTCCCTCCCAATGTAAGAGAAAATCAAGTTTGTGACCACCTGAGGAACCTGAACATACCTAAGACTATGGAACCTGATGAGATGCATCCCAGAGCCCAGAGGGAATTGGCTGATGGAGTTGCCAAGTCACTCTCCACAGTATCTGAAAATCCTGGCAGTCAGGTGAAGTCTTGGATGACTGGGAAAACTAAAACATTGAACCACTGCCCTGTCAGCCTCCCTTCTGTGCCTGGACCAGACCCTCACAGAAACTCTGCTGGGGCTCATGGAGGACAGGGAGGTGACTCAGGCCAGCCAGCACAGCTGCACCAAGGGCATGTTCTGCCTGGCCAGCCCCGTGGCCTTCTAGGAGGGAGTGACTGCATCCATGGACAAGGGAAGGGCTCCAGGTGCCATTTGTCTGGACTTCTGTAAAGCCTTTGACACAGTCCCCCACAATGCCCTTCTAAACTGAAGAGAGACGGACTTGAAGGACGGACTGTTCAGCAGATGAGAAATTGGTTGGACAGTCAGAGGGTAGTGGTCAACAGACTGTCCAGGAGGACATCAGTGGTGGGTGCTGTCCCTCAGGGGTCAGTACTGGGACCAGGACTGTGGAGTATCTTCACCACTGATGAGGACACTGGGATCAAGTGTCAGCAGGTCTGCAGATGTCACCAAACTCAGAGGTGAGGTTAACACGCCTGAGGGACAGAGTAACATCCACAGGGACATGACCAAGCTCGAGAAGTGGGCCCAGGGGAACCTCCTAAGGTTCAACAAGGCCAAATGTGATGTGCTGCACCTGGGATGGGGCCATCCCTGGGATCCACAGGCTGGGGAATGATGGGATTTAGAGCAGCCCTGCGGAGAAGGACTTGACAAAGAAAATTTTTTATGAGGGTGGTGAAACACTGGCACAGGTTGTCCAGAGAGACGGTGGCTGTCCCATCCCTGGAAACATTCAAGGCCAGGTTGGACAGGGCTCTGAGCAACCTGGTCTAGTAGAAGATGTCCCTGCTTTTTGCAGGAGAATTGGACTAGATGGCCTTCAAAGCTCCCTTCCCATCCAAATACTCTATAAAGATCAAAAGGGTAGAGGGCAAATGGTTGGCTCAAGGCAATTTCTGAATTTTGGGGTCAAGCAGCAGAGAGATGACCTTTTCAGACACAGGGAAAGGTCAGTGCTGCACCATGAGGGGCCCAGGCTCTTTAACATCTCTGGATTTTTGGAGGACATGGGATGACCACCAAAGCTTTCAGCAACTGGAATGGTAGAAGGACTGAAGGAGAGCAACAAGGCAGCTGGAATTTGTGATCAACACCATTCTGAAACACCCAGCTGGGTATTCATGGATAAAACAGTCGATGTTTTATGCCTGATCTTCATGCCCTATTGCACATTCTTCAAATGCAATAAAGTATTGCTAACCCATCCAGTACAAGGGGTTTTATTACGAGTCCCATATTCATAATGTTAAGCATAAGGAGCACAGTGCAGGCCAGGTGAAATGTGCTTTCAAATGATGGTTCTGGGTCAGAAAGAAGGTCTGTGCCACATCCCAGCCCTGGGCCTGACCTGTCTGTGTAAGAGCAGCAGCCAGAACATCCAAAGACCGGAGCTGCCAGCCCCTCTCCTGCAGCACGTGGGGGGAATGCTGAAAAACTGGGATATGCCAACACCACAGCAGTGGCTGGAGCTTGTAGTATCTGATGAGCCTATGAAGAGAAAAGAGAGCTGCTGGGGAAGTGGAGAGTGCGGTGGCTTCAGGGCAGCCCAGAGCCCAGGGATGGAGCCCTACCACAGCTCTTGCCTCCAAAGTAAATCCTGAGCATCTTCAGGATTCTCCTGATTCTCCTGTGATTCTCCTGGAGCCAGAGCTGGGGTGGGATGCTGCATGCCATGGGGCACCAAGGACCACTCTCATCCAGAGCAACTCACTTGGGGCAATGCCAGCGTTTATTCCATGGAAAAATGAACTTACAGCATGTTTTTTATAATTACTTTTTTTTTTTTCGGAATTCGTCCTTTCATCTGTTAAATAAAACACAACGCAACTACCGAGCTGTTCTCTCTGGGATTGCAGAGCCGAGCTAAGCTGCGCCCCAAGATCTGTAAGAGCTGAAAACATGATTCTAAACTAACACTCTGCATCTCCACTTTGATTTTAAGTGATCGCTCTGCTTTTCTGCTGAATTAACTTAAACCAATTCTGCTGCTTTGCCTGGAGCGTGGGTGGAAAAAAACTGACTTGGGAGGAAACCTGAGCCCAGTCCTGCCCTCTGTGTGACACCACGACTACGCCTGTGGCCATATCAGCAATGTGAGCTGTCCACTGCTAGAAAGGCTCCTCTTCCTCACCGCTTGCTATTGCATAAGGTGTCCGAGCCTCGCATCCCTCTGCTCCCAATCGCTCCCAGGGCTCTTGCATATCAAGGTTTTTCATGAGAAATCAGCAGCAAAACGCACAGGCTCTCAGTTGCACAAGGAAAATAGATCTTTGTTGGGTTCGTTATTCTCGTGGAGGGCGAGGGTGTGGTGAGGAGGGTTACGAATAAGGCCTTTTGAGAATACATTTAGCATTCAATACTTAACGCTGTCTTAAAGTCCAGTCATGATCCGGCCCTGATCGGTGAGATCACAAATAGCTCCGTTGGTTGTATTTGTTTCATGAACGGAATCAAAGAAAAGGTTCAGAGTTGTATTTTAAATGAATGACTCTGCTTTTGAAAGTTCAAACTATATTGGCATCGCAAGGTTAGACATGGAGGAAACACCAAAGCTATGATGGGAGAGCGCTTCTGACAGGCTCTGCATCGAAAACGTTTAAGAAACTATTCAAAGGAAAAGTAAATAGCACTCAATGTATGAAATGTATTAGTTCTGTTTTTATACCTATTTCAGAATTTATCCCAGGTTCTTATAAAATATATAAAACTGAGATACAAAGAATTAGCAATGTAACTTTGCATTTCAAATGATCTTCAGCTACAGGTTTTGCTTTAAGAAAACAGACACTTGAAAAGCAGCTGTTCTGTAGTCTCTAGATGCAGACACTTGAGTTCCTGGCAAACTTACCGTCAGTGGTTTTCTGAACTCCTCCACCATTGCAACTCTCTCCTACAATGAAACTCAACATTTCACTGTTAAGTTTTTCTGCTTGTGGTTTCAAAGAGAGGACGTCACCATTTCCCAGCATCGGTTTCAAAGTTCCTTTTTTTCTTTTTTTTTTCCCCCTTTTTTTTTTCCTTTTTCTCTTTTTTTTTTTTTTTTTCCTTTTTTTTTTTCCCTTTATGAGCTTTAAACCACAGGGTGAATCCATGAAATGAGGTAAGTAAATTTGGCACACTTTTAGTCATGTCCATAAAACTTTTGGTAAGTTGTATCAGTGAACAATATTGTTTTTCATCGTGAGTTACAGGTGCTTTCGAAGGGGGGTGGTTAGTACTTAACAACTGGAATGTTTCTAGTAAAACCAAAAGGCATAGCTGCAGAAAACACTCACAACCCAATGTTGATAGAGAAGTAAAAATATATACAATACAGTCACTTGTTCATAGTTTGGCACAATTTTTTGTTGTTGTGGGTAATAGTGCATAAACTACTGTACAACAGTATGACTTTTAAAACAGTCTTTCACAGAGAATACCAGATTAGGTTTGCTTTCAAATAATAAAATTCCCACAATTTCAAACTCTTCATTTCAGCACTTACATTTCAACAGACCACAAGGCAGATTTCGAAAAGGAACTGATGGGGGAAAAAAAAGAAAAAACAACTGAAAAAAATAAAAAAAATAAAAAAGGGTAAGAAAAGAACCAAACATCAACCGTCTTTCTAGAAAAGGGAGTCTCTTCTTCAAATACAGGAAAACCCAAAAATGCTGTTTCTGCTTTAAGAAGAATGGAGTCTGATTCCCTGCAGGAAAAAATCAAACATTTGATGCCATCTTAGTTAGCTCGTCTGGAGTCACCACGACGGAGCGAACGCGCTAAAGGCGGGCGGGTAGAGAAGATGCAGCTTTAGATGATGCAGGTTAGGAGACACAACAGCAGAGGGGGCCAGAAAGCACTCAAAAATTGCCACGTGAAGCTCAATTAGGAACGAGTTCTCATTTGCAAAGTAAAGAGCCTTTAAGTTTTGAGATCTTGGCTTTTGGATGCAGAACCTCTTTTTTTTTTTTTTGTGGTTTATTTTTTACAAAATGTTCCAAAAAAAAAAAAAAAGTCTTTCCTCGTCAAAATCATTAAAAAGAGTGTGTAATCATGTTTTTTTTTTGTTTTTCTTGTACTTTTTTTTAGTTTTTGTTTTTGTTTCCCCCCCCAATAAATAAGTAATTAAAAACTGAAGAAGCCAAACAGCAGAAAAGAGTAGCCTTGTTAGTTTTTTTAACCCCAGCCAAGCCAGAAAATTGGTCATTCTTTTAGGTAGCTTGCAAGTCAGAAGTACTTTCATGCATTTAAAAATAATAATTAAAAAAACCAAACAAACAAAAAAAAAAAGAAACCAACCCCAAAACCAAAAC